AAAAAAAAAAAAAAAAAAAAAAAAAGCAAAACTTCGTCTTAAAAAACTAAACAAAACACCATCCCCCCAAAAAAAATCATGAAAAATCAAAAAACAACTAAAGAGAGAGAATAATAGCTAGTGGCTAGGGCCCTGCTGCTTGGTGCTGTCTGCCTGCGGCTCTGCTGCTTGGTGCTGTCTGCCTGCGGCTCTGCTGCTTGGTGCTGTCTGCCTGCAAATATTGGAGTTTTATCTCTTCTTATTCGTGCTGGGAGAGGAGATTGCTCTGTTGCCCTGGTCAGGTCCCTCCTGATGTCTCTCCGGGGATCTCCAAGTCTTCATCACTTAGCCACCCACAGTTGCTCACTGCACGTCACCCGTGATGGAGGAAAAATTGAGGCCACCAGGTGTGAACCCTCAGCTTCCTGCCGGGGCGCACAGAGAGCTCTGTCTGCACCCACTTGCATGTCCTCCCCTCCTGCTGTCTGAAGATAACCCCTACTGCAGGGGTGGGGGGGTGGGGGCGGGAGTATCCACTCCCGTCCTCACAGAAGGTGGACTTTGAGCCACTAGCTATTATTCCCTCTCTCCAGTTGTTTTTTGCTTTTTCATGATTTTTGGAGGGTGGTGTTTTGTTTTGTTTTTTAAGACGAAGTTTCACTCCTGTTGCCAAAGCTGGAGTGCAATGGCATGATCTCTGCTCACTGCAACCTTCACCTCCCGGGTTCAAGCGATTCTCCTGCCTCAGCCTCCTGAGGAGCTGGCATTCCAGGCGCACACCATGCCCGGCTAAAGGTTTTTTTGGTTTTTTTTTTGAGACAAGTTCTCACTCTGTCACCCAGGCTGGGGGCAGTGGTACAATCACAGCTCACTGTAGCCTCGACATCCTGGGCCCAAGAAATCCTCCCACCTCAGCCTCCCGAGTAGCTGGGACCACAGGCATGTGCCACCACACCTAGATAATTTTTGCATTTTTTTTGTAGAGATGGGGTTTTACCACGTTGCCCAGGCTGGTCTCCAACTCCTGGGCTCAAGTGATCCTCCCACCTCGGCCTCCCAAAGTGCTGGGATTACAGGCGTGAGCCACCACACCTTGTCCATTTTCCATGTTTTAGTGAACTTTATTTTTTAGAATAATTTTAGATGTACAGAAAAATTAGGCCGAGTGCAGCGGCTCACACCTGTAATCCCAGCACTTTGGGAGGCCGAGGTGGGAGGATCACTTGAGGTCAGGAGTTTGAGACCAGCCTGACCAACATGGTGAAACCCTGTCTCTACTAAAAATACAAAAATTAGTTTGGCATGGTGGCAGGTGCCTGTAATTCCAGCTACTCGGGAGGCTGAGGCAAGAGAATAAATTGAACCTGGGAGGCGGAGGTTCCCGTCAGTGGAAATTGCATCATTGCACTCCAGCCTGGGCAATGAGAGTGAAACTTTGTCTCAAAAAAAAGAAAAAGAAAACAAAGAGATGTACAGAAAAATTGAGAAGCTAATACTGAGAGTCCCCCATATACCCTGAACCCATTTCCCTAGCTACTAACTTGCCACATTTATTACAATTACTGAATCAATATTGACACATCATCATTATTAAGAGACCCTGTCTCCACATAGAATTAAAAAATTAGCTGGGGGTGGTGGTGTGCACTTGTCCCAGCTACTCAGGAGGCTGAGGTGGGGGGATCACTTGAGCAGAAGAGTTTGAGTGAGGCTGCATTCTGGCCTGGGCGACAAAGCGACGCCCAGTCTCTGCAACGTAAAAATGAAAAAGGAGCTTCAGGCCTACGAGGAATCAGAAAAATTTCCCCCACGTGCATGAAATTGAGACAAGGGAAGATAATCAAAGAGATGAGAACCGCCTCCGAGCTAGGAGTCAGGCAGGTGAGGGGAAGGAGAGGGGAAGTGCAGGCAGCCGAGGGAGCTTGGCGAGGGCAGGACTCATGAGCACCGGGCCCCAGCCTCCATCCTCAGCCTCTCACGCAGCCGATGCGCCCCTGGCTCTGTGGTCTGCAGCTCTCACCCTCGAAGCTGCTGCAGTCCACCCCCAAGAGGGAAGCCACAAAGGAAACTTCTCCCACCCCACCTCCACCCACCAGGAGCCGGCTGGCCGCTGTGGTTTCCACGCCTGCTTGTTTTCCTGGCATCCACCGCCCCCTGCCCGTTCTCTCCCCAAAGTGACGTCTTTTGGCCGGGTGCGGTGGCTCACGCCCGTCATCCCAGCACTTTGGGAGGCCGAGGTGGGTGGATCACCTGAGGTCAAGAGTTAGAGACCATCCTGGCCAACATGGTGAAACCCCGTCTCTACTAAAAATACAAAAATTAGCCAGGCGTGGTGGCACGCCTGTAGTCCCAGCTACTGGGGAGGCTGAGGCAGGAGAATCGCTTGAATCTGGGAGGTGGAGTTTGCAGTGGGCTGAGATTACGCCACTGCACTCCAGCCTGGGAGACAGAGACTCCGTCTCAAAAAAAAAAAAAAAAAAAGATGTCCCTTTTCTGTTGGAGAGTCAACACCCCTTTGTCCCAGCACTTTGCATGGGACGGGCTTAAGCCTGTGAGAGGATCTCACCTTGGCCACAGCACGTGGTTCAGGTATGGACAGTTGCCAGTCAGAGCCAGTAAGATGCCCAGCGACGTTTGCTGGAGCTGCCGGGAATAAAATACCTCCTTCTTCTTGTGAGGAAATTGCCTGAATAGACTTGCGCCCGCTGGACATCTCTGAGCACGGCTGCAGCTCAGGAGAATGGCCGTCTCCATTCGGCCACCGTGAAGATGGGGATCAGCCTGCGAATGGAGCTGTCAGCACCAAGAAGAGAGCCGGGAAATGTGGTGAGAGAAACCAGGTTCCTGGTCACATCGTTTGAGCACTAGATCTAGGCACGCCCAAAGATCTATCCCCAAACCGTTCGGTCACACAAGCCAAAATACCCTCTTTATGAATGAAGCCGTGTCTCTGCCTGTTCCTTTAGCTGTTGTTTGCAGTGTGAGGAGTCGTAAGGAACACGGTGCTCCGAGTCCATTTCGTGGGTAGATCTTGATGGTCAGGCTCGGTCTTTTTTTGTTCTTTCTTTTTTTTCACTCCCAAGGTGGAGTCTTTCTCTGTTGCCCAGGCTGGAATGCGGTGATGTGATCTTGGCTCAGTGCAACCTCCGTATCCCAGGTTCAAGTGATTCTCCTGCCTCAGCCTCTTGAGTAGCTGGGATCGCAGGTGTGCGCAACCACACCCAGCTAATTTTTGTGTTTTTAGTAGAGATGGGGGTTTCTCCATGTTGGCCAGGCTGGTCTTGAACTCAACCTCAAGTGATCCACTGGCCTCGGCCTCCGAAAGTGCTGGGATCACAGGCATGAGCCACCGTGCCTGGCCCTTTTTCTTTCTTTTTTGAGACAGGATCTGACTCTGTCACCCAGGCTAGAATGCAATGGTGCGATCACAGCTCACTGTCACCTCTGCCTCCTGGGCTCAAGCAGTTCTCCTGCTTCAGCCTCATGAGTAGCTGGGATTACAGGTGCGTGCCACCACGCCTGGCTAATGTTTGTATTTTTTGTAAATACAGGGCTCAGCACATTGTCCAGGCCGGTCTCACGTAGGGTCCGATGAGTCCTTCCCTGCTGGTGCAGAGACGAGAAATTGGAAATAAAGACACAAGACACAGAATGGAGAAAAGAGAGTTTGGGCCTGGGGGTCCACTGCTACCAAAGCGTGGAGACCAGCAGTGGCCCCGAGAGCCAAGACTCTCTGACTTTTACTGAGTACAAAGCAGGGGAAGAGCAGGTAGGCTGAGGTAATGGTGGTCAGTGACAGGGTCTGGTAAGTTATGTGTCTTGGAGACAGGAGTTGAGGATTTTCTTTTTTTTTCACTTATTATAATTATAATTTTTAAAGAGATGGGGTCTTGCTATGTTGCCCAGGCTGGAGTGCAGTGGCTCCTCACAGGCGCGATCCCACTACTGATGAGCACGGGAGTTTTGACCTGCTCCGTTTCCAACCTGGGTTGGTTCACCCCTCCTTAGGCAACCTGGTGGTCCCCACTCCCGGGAGGTCACCATATTGAGGCCAAACTTAGTGTGGACACCCGATCGGCATAGCACACTACAGCCCAAAACTCCTGGGCTCAAGCGATCCTCCAGCCTCAGCCTCCCGAGTAGCTGGGATGAGAGGCACGCGCCACCACGCCCGGCTGGAGTTCAGGATTTTCAGGAAGCTGAGGTGAGGAGAAAACCTAAGGCGTCAGCACTTTTTTCATACTTGTCAAGAAATTTTTTCACTTGTCCCTTTTTTCATGCTTGTCAACAAGGTCACTAAGATTTCTGTGACTATTGCTAATTCTCATCTCCCAAGAAAAAGAGGAACCAGGCGCAGAAGCAGAACTTGAAAGTAGCCATGGAGTGTGACCGCTGAAGGGCAGCACCACAGGGAGACAATCGAGCCCCCGGGTGTCTGGGTGTCTGCGGCTCTCCCTGACAGCTGCAGGCCTGCTGCAAGAGCTGGGGGGAGCGGAGTTTTCTAACTCCTCTGGGGAAGGAAGCCTCTCGGCCATCTTGGACGTCTCCTTCCCTAGCTAGCTGCACAGCGGGGCTTTCCCAGCGCTGGCGATGCCACACAGCCCAGGCGCCCTTAGCAGCCCTTATGCGGGCGTCACAGAGGGCTTAGAGCATGTAACCTTAGGGTCACCTCTTTTCCAATGCCACTTCAGTCCCATGCTTCCTGACCTGAGACTTATTAGTAAGTTTAGAGATTATATGATTGTACATATATATTTGTGATTACATGTGAATAGCTGTGTGATTACTTATGATTATATACAGGAATAACTAAGTATATTCTAATTCTAAATTTATATGAGAACATGCTGAGGTCTCGGATCCTTGCCTCAGCTCTTTCGGGGTCCCCTCCCCACGGTCTCGAACTCCTGGGCTCAGGCAATCCACTCAGGGCTCCCAAAGTGCCGGGATCACAGGCATGAGCCACCACACGCCCCCGACCTCAGCCTTGATCTTTATAAGGACCACGAACTGCTGGGAAGATGCAGAGATAAACAAGATGGAATTCAGTCCTTGATGATCCCCTTCTGCGTCAGAAGAACGAAGAGCGGCTTGAACTTGAACCCTGCCTCTTCTGAAATGCAAATATCCCCAGTTAGTGATGACACAGCCTCCAACATCAGTCTTGGCAGCCCCGCCGGCTCAGGTCGCTGCTGGAGAGGCCGCTTACGCCAAAAACTGCCATTGGATACTTTCGCGCTAAAGATTTGGGATTAAGTCAGTGTGTTCCTCAGTGAAACAGCAGCCATTGAAAACCCGAATCCCACATCATTAAATGGGATTAGCAAAGCTTTATTTTACGTATTTATTTTATTTTATTATTATTTTTTCGCCCCGTCGCCCAGGCTGGAGTTCAATGGCGCAATCTCGGCTCACCGCAACCTCCACCTTCTGAGTTCAAGCAATTCTCCTACGTCAGCCTCCTGAGTAGCTGGGATTACAGGCATGCGCCACCACGCCTGGCTAATTTTGTATTTTTAGTAGAGATAGGATTTCTCCATGTTGGTCGGGCTGGTCTCCAACTCCTGACCTCAGGTGATCTACCCACCTTGGCCTCCCAAAGTGCTGGGATTACAGGCGTGAGCCCCCGCGCCCGGCCAAAACGGAGTCTTTATAGAGGTAATCAAGTTAAAATGAGGGCCTCGTAGGTTGGGTCCTAATCATACATAACCAGTGTCCTTCTACAAAGGGGAAATTTGCACACAGCGACAGACACACGCAGAGGGAAGACAGCGTGAGGACGTGTGACTGCAGAGACGCATCTACCACCAGGAGACACTTAGGATTGGTGAACATCCCAGAAGCTGGAAGGGGGTACGCAGGGGTCTCCCCGGAGCTGGCAGAGAAAGCAGTCCTGCCAATGCAAGTTGATTTCGAACCTGTGGCTTCCAGATCTGTGAGTGAAAAAATACCAGGTGTTTTAAGCAACCCAGTGTTGGGGTGGCTTCGTGACAGCAGCCCTAGAAAATGAACCCACAGCCACCTGCTCAGCCACTGAGCGTCTAACACACACATAGTGCTGACTATGCTCCAAGCACTGTGTCTGTGGGGTGGACAGGAATGGCCTGGCTTCCAAGGAGTGAATATTCTTTTGGTAAAAATCAATACAAATGTTTAATAACACTTCTTTGGACTTACTAGGAAAGGCAAACAAAAAAAATGTTTAATAAAATAATAAACGATGGCTGGGCGTGGTGGCTCATGCCTGTAATTCTAGGACTTTGGGAGGCTGAGGTGGGTGGACCACCTGAGGTCAGGAGTTTGAAACCAGCCTGGCCAACATGGTGAAACCCCGTCTCTACTAAAAATACAAAAATTAGCTGTGCGTGGTGGCGCACGCCAGTAGTCCCAGCTACTCGGGAGGCTGAGGCAGGAGAATCACTTGAACCTGGGAGGCGGAGTTTGCAGTAAGCCAAGATCATACCACAGCACTCCTGCCTGGGTGACAGAGTGAGACTTTGTCTGAAAAAAAAAAAAAAATCAATATAAATGTGAGAAAAGTAGTCAGTACAGAGGCAGGCAGGATGCGCTGAACAGAAAGGCCCTGTTGAGCCTGGTTGATCAGGGACAGCTTCCCTGAGGCAGTGGCTTCTAAGTGGAGGCCTGAGTGATGGAGAGGCAGGGAAAGGTTTCCGGACAAGGGCAGGCCATGTGCAAGGTGTAGCACCCGGGGCCAGGAGGCGGGAGGACTGCACCAGGCCAGGAGTTTGAGACCAGCCTGGGCAACATAGCGAGACCGTGCCCTACACAAAATAAAAAAACAGCCCGGGGTGGTGGCTCATGCTGGTAATCCCAGCACTTTGGGAGGCCAAGGTGGGCGGATCACCTGAGGTCAGGAGTTCAAGACCAGCCTGGCCAACATGGTGAAACCCCGTCTCTACTAAAAATACAAAAATTAGCTGGGCATGGTGGCGTGCATCTGCAATCCCACCTACTTGAGAGGCAAGAATATTGCTTGAACCTGGGAGGCGGAGGTTGCAGTGAGTGGAGATCGCACCGCTGCACTCCAGCCTTGGCAATCAAGCAAGATTCCATCTAAAAAAAAAAAAAGAAGAAGAAATAAAACAGGCCAGGCACGGTGGCTCACGTCTGCAATCCCAGGACTTTGGGAGGCTGAGGCAGGTATATCACAAGGTCAAGTGTTCGAGACCAGCCTGGCCAATATGGCTAAACCCTGTCTCTACTAAAAATACAAAAATTAGCCAGGCGTGGTGGTAGGTGCCCGTTGTCCCAGCTGCTCGGGAGGCTGAGGCAGGAGAATCGCTTGAACCTGGGAGGTGGAGGTTACGGTGAGCCGAGATCGTGCCACTGAACTCCAGCCTGGGTGACAGAGTAAGACGCCATCTCAAAAAAAAAACTAAAAAAGGATGGGAACTGTGCTCATAGGAGGAGGCCGTTGGGATTTACGATGTCAAGGCAGAGGGATGAGGCTGAGGTCCTCTGGTGGCAATCCTCCCTGGGGCTGCAGACAGGTCCGCGTGTGGGAGCTGTGGGTCCTCCTGGGGTCTCAGCCAGTGGTCAGCCTTCCTACCTCCATGGGAGCTCCTTGCCGATCTGCAGCGTTTTCTCTCCCCTTCCTGCCAGGACTCCAGGAAGGGGTGGGTATTTGAGGCCTCCTCCCACGGAGCACGAGCATTCCTGTACAGCAGCTGGGCAGCACTCTCAGCAGACGGGTGTGAGCCGCAGCTAGGGGGAGGTTCCAGAACACAGGCTATGTCTAACCTGGCACAGATGCCCGATTCCCAGCCCAGGGAGGGGTGTGGGGGGGTGAGAAACAATCTTGCTTTCATTGTTTATTATTTTTTTACTTACTTATTTACTTATTTCTTTAGAGACAGCGTCTCACTCCGTGGCCCACTGCAACCTCACCTCCAGGATTCAAGAAATTCTCGGCCAGGCGTGGTGGCTCATGCCTGTAATCCCAGCACTTTGGGAGGCTGAGGCAGGTGTATCACCTGAGGTCAGGAGTTTGAGACCAGCCTGGCCAACATGGTGAAACCCCCTCTCTATTAAAAAAAATAATAATAATTAGCTGGGCATGGCAGTGCACACCTGTAGTCCCAGCTACTTGTGAGGCTGAGGC